CGAAAGGATGCATTTATCGCATGTCCGAGGAGGAGCTCACGGTTCTTCGTGCGCAACTCGACGATCTACTCGACAAGGGTTGGATCCGCCCTAGCAGCTCACCTTACGGTGCGCCCGTTCTCTTCGTTCGGAAGAAGAACAAGGACCTTCGACTTTGCATTGACTACCGACGCCTCTACCTCGCATTGACGATTTGCTTGAGCGGTTGGGCGGCGCCAAGTACTTTTCGAAGTTGGACCTCAAGTCGGGCTACCATTAGATTTCCATCCGCCCGCAAGATCGGTACAAAACCGCGTTCAAGACGCGATATGGGCATTTTGAGTGGGTAGTTATGCCTGTTGGCCTCACCAATGCCCCGGCCACCTTTCAGGCGGCCATGACCACCGAGTTTCGCGCTATGTTGGACCGCTTCGTTTTGGTCTACTTAGACGACATCCTCGTCTATAGCCAAACTCTAGAGGAGCATCTCGAGCACCTTCGCCGTGTTCTAGAAACTCTTCGGTCAACCCGGTACAAAGATAACCGCGACAAATGCGAGTTTGTCCAGCAAGAGCTTGAATACTTGGGTCATTTTGTCTCTCCGGAAGGCGTTCGTCCGTTGGCGGACAAGATTCAAGCCATCCAGGAGTGGCCCGAGACGAAGAATGTGACGGACGCTCGATCCTTCCTCGGCTTGGCCGGTTATTATCAGCGCTTCATCAAGGGTTACTCGAAGATCGCGGCCAACCTAAGCAAGTTACAAAGCGAGGAGCGGCCTTTTGACTTCGACGACAACGCGCGCCATTCTTTTGAGACACTCAAAGCGGCACTCTTGTCCGCCGAGGTGTTACATGTTTACGACCCGCTTCTAGCTACGCGCGTCACTACCGATGCGTCGGGCTATGGCATTGGGGCCGTCCTTGAGCAGCACGATGGCACGGACTGGCACTTGGTCGAGTACTTTAGCAAGAAAGTACCTCCTGTGCATTCGATCGACGACGCACGGAAGAAGGAGCTTCTTGCCTTCGTCCACGCCCTCAAGCGTTGGCGACATTTCCTCCTTGGTCGGAAAGCATTCCGATGGGTAACGGATAACAATCCGTTGGTATTCTACAAGTCGCAAGACACGATTAACAGTACCATTGCCCGTTGAATGGCTTTCATCGACCAGTTTGACTTTTCCCCGATCACATTCCCGGGAAGTCAAATCGTTTTGCGGACGCCCTCTCACGACGACCGGATCTTTGCACCGCAGTCTACTCTACCTTCGAGATCGACGACGACTTGCGGGAGAGCTTCATCCGCGGCTATCAAGCCGACCCCCACTTTGGCGACAAGTACGCGAATTGCTCCTCTCCGAATCCAGTATCTTCGCATTATCGGATCCAAGAGGGCTACTTACTTGTGCATTCACGGGGTAAGGATCTTCTTTGTGTGCCGAATGATTCACACTTGCGCACACGGCTTCTTGGCGAGTTTCACGATGCGCCCGCCTCCGGACATTTTGGTGTCAACCGTACACTTGGCCGACTTCGCCAGCGGTTCTATTGGCCCGACCTTCTCAAGGACGCCACCCGCTATTGTGAGTCGTGCGAAGTCTGTCGGCGTTGCAAGGCACGGAACCATCGTCCGTTCGGCGAGCTACACCCATTACCAGTGCCCCTTGGGCGACGGGAAGCAATTGCTATGGATATCACCGGCCCTTCCCGAAGCACAAGACCGGCGTTGATGGGATCCTCACGGTCGTCGACCGCCTCACCAAGTACGCCCATGTTTTTGCCTTGCCGCTATCATGCAAAGGCACCGGAGTTAGCCGACGTCTTATACACCGGTTGGATTCGCTCCAAGGGCTACCCCAAGGAGATCGTTTGCGACCGGGACACTCGCTTTCTCTCCGACTTTTGGGTCGCCCTCGGCAAGCGACGGGGCTCATCCTTGAAGCCGAGTTCGGCTCGCCACCCGCAAACCGATGGTCAAATGAAAAGGGCGCATCAGACCGCTCAAGTCCTTCTCCGCACTCTCATCCGTCCCGACCAGGTTGATTGGGTTGAACGCTTGCCAGACGTTAAGTTGGCTTACAACTCATCGATCCACCCGGCTATCGGGATGTCGTCGTTCGAGTTTGAGCATGGTTCACCCATCTCATCGCCGCTGGACGCTACTGTGCCGCGCACAGCCGAGAGCGACGACCATCTTGCGATCCTTCGTCGCATGCAAGAGCTTCTTGTCAAGGCACGGGATCAGATGTCGAAGACGCAAATACGGATGAGCCGTCAAGCCAACCGCAATCGCCTTCCTTGCCCGTTCCGCGCCGGCGATCTGGTTTGGGTCTCCGCAGCGGAGTTCAGCCTTGAGCAAGACATCTTTGCAAGCTCCTTCCCAAGTGGATGGGGCCTTGGCGCATTCTCTCTGCAGCTGGTGATGATCCCGAGGGGCCCTCATTCCGCATCGCAGTGCCACCTCACTTGCCCGTCCACACGGTGTTCCACTGTTCCAAACTCGCTCCTTTTGTTTCAG